CTGATGACATGCCAGCAACATGCCTTGTGCCGCCAATGTTTCCAGGAAGCTGTCATAGAAAGTATGTGTCTCTACTGTGTGAACTATCCCCAGCGCCATGCCGCCAATGTTTCCAGGAAGCTGTCACAGGGGGTATGTGTCTCTACTCCGTGAACTATCCCCAGCGCCATCATCCGCCACATCCTCTCCTAGCATGTCCCACATGCGGCGTTGGTCATACACCTACTGCAACCGCAGACGGAATTCCTTCTTCCTTGCCTGACGAACAACAGACACAACAGTGTGAGGAGGAAAATAGACTACCATATGAACCACCTACAAAGCCCTGTACTGATAGGTCATCGCAACCATGACGAGTTCTTGCAGACCAAATCCTGCAGCAGCTATGCTTTGGATCAGTCTCCGCCGTTGTCATATACCCATAGAGAAGGAATAAATACTGAGGAAACCCAAGAAACCTGCTCCATGCGGCTTTGTGATGACCCACCGGAGATTCAGCTAGCAGGTTTTTCGCATGCCTTATGGCATGAGGATTATGAAGGCATAGCCCAGACGAGCTTTTGTCTTCATACGTTTGATGACAGTCAACACTGCACTCAGGTACGGTACGCTGACATGTCATGTCCAATTTGTAGACGGGCTGGGACGGCAATACCTCTCCAATTGCGGTTGACATGCCTCTGCGTTCCTAGCATGTAGGAGCAACGTAGCCTGTGACATCTGTCTACACCATGCCATTCGATGTAGCAACTGCGACTGCAAGAATTGGATGCGGTGCTTCCACAGGACACCCAAACCGGTCCTGCCCGGCTTGTAGAGGTGGCCACTTACCATAGGCACTTACCATAGGCACTTACCATAGGCAACGACTGCTCCTCAAATCTTATGCAACCCATACACTGCCTGGCCTCATGTGCCATTCTAGAGTGGTCTGCTGCAGCGGTCACTGTTTTGAAAACCTGTCAGAACTCCACCTCCCTTTCCTTCCTCCCTCCTCTTGTGTATTACTATATGAATGAGCATCATTAAGAGAACAGGCAAAATATATGTTGAAGATCTGAGACGAAATGAACAGGAATATACATCTGCCTTTGTTCCGCCTCCTTTCATAGTGTGCAAGTGGGTCGTTATGGCACACGGGGATGTGGGCAGCTCACACTCAACCACAATCAACGTGGTGAGCCTTGTACATGAGAGGCACAGTAAAGGGGAGCTGCGAGAACAAATGAAGGGGTACCCCAAAGAAAGCACATGTGAACACAATTAAGAAAAGGTTTTCCATGCCTCTATTATACTCCATGTTGCATGCTATAGATGTGAAACTGTGCCATTGTTGGATTGTCTTAACTCAAGGGCTTTCATTGTCTGCAATAGGATTGAATATGCTTTGATTTCGGATCTGCTCATCTGGGTGGAATAGGGGCTGTTGTGGTGAAAATTCAAAACACACACACCCTTATTACTTGCCCGGCATGCCGATGTGGCCTCGACATGCCATGCCTAAATAGCTGCGAACGTCAGCCTGCTTTCCTGCTTACATGTCAGTAACATGCCATGTGTCGTCAATTTTTTGAGGAAGCTGTCATAGAAAGTATGTGCCTCTACTATGTGGACTATCCCCGATGCCATCACCCACCACATCCTCTCCTAGCATGTCCCACGTGCTGCGTTCGTCATACACCTGCTGCAACCGTAGTCGGATCTCCTTCATCCTTGCCAGACGAACGACAGACGCAGCAGCCTGAAGAGGAAAACAGATTACCATATGAAGCACCAACGGAGCGTTGTGTTGAAAGGGTATTACCGCCAAGGGGAGCTGTTGCAGACCAAATCTTGCAACAGCGAAACACCCTTGCAGCCTTGCTTCTGAACAGTCCCCGTTGTCGTCTGCCCATGGAGAGGGAATGATGACTGAGGAAACCCAAGAAACCTGCTCACTGCGCCCTGTGAGGATCCCCCTGACATCCGGCTAGCATGTGGCTCGCATGCTTTGTGTCGTGGGGTGTAGTCCATGCAAGATTCTGTTTTCACACGTTTGATGACAGTCAATATTGCACTCATGTTCGGCACCCCGACATGTCATGTCCAATTTGTACACGGGCTGGAATGGCAATGCCTATGCAATTGAGGTCGGTGTGCCTCTGTGTTCCTAGCATGTAGGAGCCACATAGCCTGTAATATCTGTCTACACCGTGCCATTCGAGGCGGCAACTGTAACTGCAAGAATTGGATGCGGTGCTTCCACATTCCACACACGAACCGGTCGTGTAGGGGTGGCCACTTACAATAGGCAACGTTTGCCCCGCAACTCTAAATCTCTTGCAACCCATACACGGACTAGCCTCTTGAGCCGTTCTAAAGTATTCCTCTCCAGCGGTGAGTATTGAGAACACCGTTGACGTTCGTCACTCCTCTGTTCTGTTCTTTGCCATCCCACTTCCCTCCTCCACCCATATCTCTCCCGCTTCTCGCTTCCTGTAAAATTCCACCTCCGACACCTTCCTTCCTCCCTCCCTGTGTACTACTTATAAATGCGTACGGATGAGCATCATTAAAAAAACAGACCAAATGTAAGCTGAAGATCTGAAGAAAAATGTACAGGAGTATACCCCCCGTTTACTCCGCCTCACTCCGCCTCCTGTCATAACATGCAAGTGTGCTGTTAAGGCACACGGGGATGTGGGCAGCTGACACTGAACCACAATCAACATGGCCAGCCTTGTACGTGAGTACCCCAAAGAAAACTGAAGTAAAGATACTTAAGAAAGGCAAAGAATGAATCTATGGAGCTCCGGGTTGCTTGCTATAGAGGCAAAACTGTTTAATTGTTGGATTGGCTCATCTCAAGTGTGGTTCATTGTCTGCAATCACAGTAAAATTGCTTTGATTTTGGGTCTACTCATCTGGGTTGAACAGGGGCTGTTGTAGTGAAAATTTAAAACACAGAGTCATGCTTTTTTCGTGGAGTTGTGGTGTATAGCGAACATGACAAGGACTCCACCAGCAAGAAAGCACTGACCCCATCTGTCATAGGTCCAAAAATACTTGGAGAGCCCTCCGCGTCGGCCCACAAAACCACAAACTTAATTAAACAAATCAAACAGCACAACACAAAAGGCTCCACTAACAAAAAATCAATGACCACACATGTCATGCTCTAAAAATTGTGTGTGTGTGTGTGTGTGTGTGTGTGTGTGTGTGTGTGTGTGTGTGTGTGTGAGAGAGAGAGAGAGAGGGTAACGACCAACGCGTTGGCCAATTATAGGCTCATGCTAGTCCAACCGTTAGGCCGGCATCGCAGTACTGGTCAACACCCATCCCACCAGGTATACCATGGGCCGTATCTGTTCTCTCTTACCCCCCTCCTCTGCTTCCGTTTGTTTGTTTTCCTTCCATCTTTCCTCCTCCTCCCCTTCCTCAACTCTGCCTTCCTGCTGTTGTCAAAGACTCATAAACTGACACAAATTCTGCTTTCCTTTTCGCTTTGCTGTCTGGAAGTCATGAAGAATGAAGCAGCTTCTTACAACTTTAGAGCCTGCACCAAAAGTCCTATCATTGTGTCAGTGAAGCTGAGCTGTCTGGGAGGGGGAAGAGGAGCGGGGGGCAGGGAAGGCTGTCAAAGTGAAGTAGTGAGGTTAGGTGCTGATGATTTGAAAATTGAAACTTTTTGTCAGAAATGGCAGCCATTGATTGTGTCAATGGCCTCTCATTCCTATTCTGTTTTGCTTCTGTCATTTGATTGGCCCTTCCTGTTTGTGTGTTTGTGTGTTTGTGCATTTGTGCGTTTGTGTGTTTGCTTGTGTGTGTGTGAAAAAACACATTGAAATAGCTCCAGTACAACACAGTTGTACTCCGGCCGGCGGCCTCCCAGGAGAAAACCATGCACAAAGATTCTAATGTCTAACACAATTTACACATAACTCTATCGTGGACGAGCCAAATGTTAAAAGACATGTGGAAGACAGAAAAACACGCGAGTACAAGACTTAAAAACCAGAAAGAAGTCAGAAAAAGGCAGCAATGACAGATTGTTTCGTCAGACTGATACCGACTGATCAGGAGGCTGAACCCTCAACGATCCCCATGTTGATGCTTAGAGTCATGAACTCTTTTCACCCTGGTTGGAAGTGGACGGCCCCCGCAGACGACAACACGAGCAGAACATGGCAGCAAGGCAATGACTCAGCTAAGCACCAGGCAACGCTAGTGGGGTAGCCCAACTACACAGCACAAAAGCAAACTGCAGGGAAGGACAGCCCAAGCAGATGGCAGTACGGCAACAATGCAGCCAAGCATAAGGTAGCGCTGACAGAGCAGCCAAACTATACAGCCAACAAGCAAAGGACATGGAAAGACAAAGCATGGGGATGGGCAGCACGGCAATGGTGCAAGGCACAAGGCAACACCGATAAGGCAGCAAAGATGGCAAACAGACAAGCTGCGAGGAAAGACAGGGCAAGCAGATGGGCAGCAAGGCAGCGGAGGACCGCAAACAAGGCAGCCCACATATCTAACACGGACCAAAGCAGCATAACACCTACTCAAACCAGAATCAGAACCCCAAAGACTGTTGGTTCCCACCGCCCTCGGCGCCAGGAAGCCACTCCTATGAACATCTGTCGTCACCCATGGAACATGCACCCGCAGACATCCCGAACAGAGTTCTCCTCCGGATAGTGTCGCAGGCGCTCCAAACAAACAGACAATGACTATTATGCACTCCTTGAAGGTGCTCCGTGAGACAAACAAAAAGTACTTAGAATATAATGCAGGAAGGAAGATGTACAGCAGAATCTGATTGTTTGTATGTTCATGTGTGTGTCTGTGTGTGTCTGTGTGTGTGTGTGTGTGTGTGTGTGTGTGTGTGTGTGTGTGTGTGTGTGTGTGTGTGTGTGTGTGTGTGTGTGTGTGTGTGTCTGTGCGTGTGGCATGCGTTCTTCTTCTTTTTTTATCTGACTGGCATTCTTTTTTTGTCCAATTCACTGCGGTTATTGCTGCAGAGTTGAAATTCCAAGCGACTGGTTTCCTGTGCAAGAGCCTTGAGGGTATGTATGATCACCCTGGAGTATTTCAGTTCGAGGATGTGCGGCGTGCACAGGATCTTATCCTGATGGTGGCGATGGAGATGGTGCTAGGGCTGTCCCAACGCCTTGCGGTGCGCGGATTTTCTTCCTTTCTGTTGAGGCCTGAAAATTTGTGTCATTGACAGACTCTTCAGAGTTCTTCTTTTTTTTTTTTCGGAGTTTCAACACCTAGTGAAGGAAGGGGGATTCCCTCTGTTAAAAAAAAAAAAAAAAAAAAAGGGAAGGGGGAAAAGCTGCCAGTGATTGTTCCCAGGCTATCCCTGTCAGGCTCCAAATCTACACCAGCTTTGCTCATCAGTGAATTTTGTGACCAAGGGAGCTGGTCTACTTTTGGACCTCAAGGAACCTGATTTTTATATTTTTTTTCCTTTTTCTTTTTCCTTTTTTTTTTTCCTTTTTCTTTTTCCTTTTTCTTTTTCCTTTTTCTTATTCCTTCATTCTTTCTCTTCTTTTAAAAGGGAGGCGACCTTGACATAGCATCGTCGAACTGACCAGTCCCAGGTCATTCAGAAATTATGTGATTTTGTTCATCTTCTCCCCCCCCTCAAAAAAAACAGACCCTTATGGTTCTGGCTCCTTTTCCATTCTGGGGAGGGTCATTCCGGTTCCTATTCCACCGGCAAGTCAGAACCCTACACCCTAAACCCTAACCCCCCCCGGTTTTTTTTTTTTTTGGGGGGGGGGGGGGGGGTGTCGGACATGGTCTATCTCTATAATAATTTAGTACTAATACGGTAATACTGTAATACGCAAGTAATGAATTATTATGTTTTAAAGTGTTTTTCTAAGTTTTTTATAGTTTTTGACTTTTAACTCAAGTTTGGTTAGGGATTCTGACATGACTCTGAGGCAAAAGTGGTTTGCATTGTTATTCTGCATAACATTTTTTTTTTTCCAGATTTATTTATTTATTTTAATGGTCCGGACATTTCCAGACGTGCTTACTGGCCCGGACCGTCCAGAACCATGCATGTCCGGAGGTCCGGTTGTGTCCGGAAGTCTGGACCTGACCGGACATGCGTCCGGTCCCCGGACATGAGCTGTCTGGGTCTGGGTCCGGAGTAGCCATGCAATAAACACTCACACACGCTCCTCCACCTTGTGGTGTGAAGGCCCGAAGGACGACATTGATTACTTCCCAAAAGGAAGGATAGGCTGCTCTACCTTGCTTCTGCCCTTGGATACTAGCCTGATTACCCTTTCTCTTTGGTGCTTGTAACTCTACCCCGGCCTGTTCCTCTCAGCACTTTGGCTGTCGGTTTTTCTATTATTGCTAGAACTGCTGGTTTGGTCCCTTGCCGTCGTTCTTGCTAAGACCTTACGCCCCATCCAACTTTGTTGCTACAAGCTTTGCTAAAGCCCTGAGCCCATGTTGGGTTTTCCTCCCCCCTTTTTTACGTATTTCTGTTACCCTTGTCCCTACCTTAAACCCTAGCAAACTTAGAGCTGAATTGGCTGCTACTTGCTGTCCCCGATTCTTAAACCCTAAACCCTAGTGGGCCTTTAGCTGCGGTCTTGGTGTTGCCTGCTGATGAATGATGCTATGGTTTTTCTAATGGTGAGACGGGTCGAGCTGGCTGGGGGGCGAAAACGGTTGGTGCTATCTATTTACTTAGAAAAATGGTTCCGAGTGTGTGGGGTTGTGTGTCTAGAACAGAGGGGGTGGGGGATGTAAGGGATATGCGTGGTGATTATTGGGGGATTTGAGTAAAAAAATAAGAATTCAACAATTCTTCATTAATTGAATAAATCAAAAGGATAATGAATATAAAAACCTAAAAAAAAAAAAAGATTAACGAATTCATGAATTATACTTGTCAAATATAAATAATCTATCTGGCGGGTTGGATGTATAGGCCCAGGCCTTGAGTAACTGTTTACCAGGCCACCTTATGGATGAAATGAGTGTTGTCGGGATTGCTTGACCAGAGGAAGGCCGCTTCTTTTTCTGGAGTTGGCTATGGAAGTCGACAGAGGGGAACCATATAGAGGTTGTGCACCACATCATGGCCAGGATTAAGCTGTTCAGTGCAAGGACCTTGCCTAGTAGTGAAGTGTGGATACCCTTCCACGTGTGCAATCTATTAATCATTGACGGTAATAACGATGCGGTCAATATGCTGTGGCATCGTTTTCTATTCAGGTTGATTCCAAGGAAAGGAATTGGGGCAGATGGGTCTGCCCAATGCATCGCTATAAGCCGCCCAGTGCAAGGACCTCTTTATTTTCTTACATTGTTGTATTTATGCCATTGCAACCTCAGGATTTGATCTTTTGATCTGTTCGCTAACGGTTAGATCTGCATACCGTTCAGCGGCGTGCGCGTCTGGCTCTTCAGACAGAGTCTCCATAGACCAATCAGCGCCATCAAGCAATCCCTGCCGGGCATCAGCAGGTCTGCTAGACTCTTGTGCCAGTAAAAGGACCTCTTCTTTTTTTTCTTACATTGTGGTATTTATCCCATTCCGACCTCAGGATTTGAACTTCTGATCTGTTTGCTAACAGTTAGATCTGCATACCATTCAGCGGCGTGCGCGTCTGGGTCTTCAGACAGAGTCTCCATACACCAATCAGCACCATCGAGCAATCCCTGCCGGGCATCAGCAGGTCTGCTAGACTCTTGTGCCAGTAGCTTGGGCCAGAAAGTGGACCAGGTCTTATTTTCCCAGACCGCTGTGCACAAATTAAACCACCAGTAACGTTGGGCCTATTTTTTCCCTGAGTATCCATTTTGTCCGCTGTCCCCAGACTTACCGAACTAGTGTGGGGTTGGCCCTGCCATATACTGCTACTTTTGTTCGTTGAGTACACTGAAAGCCTAAAAAATAAAACTGACTGTGGCGCCTTGCATACCAGCTCAGGCCACAAGCGAGGGGGCATTAGACTGTTTCATAATACTATCATGATATTATTATTATAGTGCTGTTTTAAGCTTTGCTCCGATGCATAACTTAAAGCCCTTGGAGGCTTGGTCCAAAAATAGACCTGGTCCATTGATCCAAAAATCGATCAGGTCCCTTGGTCCAAAAATAGATGTGACCCCCCAGAATAGAAGGGGCTGAGTTGTTTTGGAAAAAAAAAAAAAAAAAAAACATGTTCTTCTCTATTTCATCATAACAATTTAGAGGAGCAAGTGACACTTCAGAGCATACTGACTGCTGAACACAATTACGGTCGGACTGTATGTGTTGGGCTAGTGTGAGTGTGCCTCAGTCAGGTCACACTTTCACACTACCATGTTCACCCGAATAGAAACCCCGGTCAGTATCGCTGCATGTGGACCGAAAGTTGTGCCAAATACAGCGATAATGACCATACATTGTATTCGGGTGAAGAAGGTAGCCCTGACCCCGCTTCCAAACTCTTCCCCCTGAACTCTGTTCTGAGAACTGACTTGTCAGAGAGTCAGAGACAGTCCATCCACAAAGTCGCAAACCACACCGGATTGAAGGTCTGGGACTGGGACTGGCAGGGAGAAGGAAATGTCAAAATGGAGGTTCAGTGTTAAACTCAGTTAATATTACTTGATAATAATTATATAAAAGAAAGGAGGAATGAAAAGGGAGAAAAACAAACAAAGATTTGTGTGCCTTTAGGCTAAGGACAAGTGTAGTATTTGTTCTGATCAGTTTAATATTTGATCCATGGTTCGTCGGGCCATGGGATATTAAAAAGCACACACATTATGCTTTATACAATGAGCACGGATGCAAAATACGTATGTGAAAAACTGTGACATCAACCCATCAACCTTCAGAGTGTTGGGTGGTGGGCAGTATGTGTCAGCGTGGGAACAGAGGGAAGGCAGCATGTGATGTGACCCGAGGCAGAGCAGAGAGGTCGAGGGAGAGGGAGAGAGTGAGAGCACGCACACACACTCACTCGACTCGAACACGGACTCGACTCGACACGATGGACGCAGACATGAAGTGGCAAAGTCTCAAAGTCGCAAAGTCGCAAACATAAAGTAGTGGCAAGTCACACTGAAGCACAAGCACTGAAGCCGAAGACTGAATGCCCCAACGGGGCTCGAGTCCGGACTTAAGTACCGGACTCAGGCTCAGTCCGGAGGGCCGAGGTGCGGCCTGCCTCAGGACTGAACTGAGGATCGGGCCAAAGACTGAATGGCCCAACGGGGCTTGAGTCTGGACTTAAGTACCGGACTCAGGCTCAGTCCGGAGGGCCGAGGTGCGGCCTGCCTCAGGACTGAACTGAGGATCGGGCCGAAGACTGAATGGCCCAACGGGGCTTGAGTCCGGACTTAAGTACCGGACTCAGGCTCAGTCCGGAGGGCTGAGGTGCGGCCTGCCTCAGGACTGAACTGAGGATCGCAGGTCTGCGTCTGGGCGCCAGAATGCCGGATGGCGCCAAGTATCGAAATCCGAAAGTGCCAGTGGAGGAATTCGAGAACGGGCGCCAACTGCAGAGGGCGCCAGTAGTCAAGAACCGGAGATCCGGAACTCAGAATAAAATACCAGCCTGGCGGGTGGTAACCCGCGGACCAGGGATCGAGCCCTGGATGAGTCCGTAACACAGCAGCCATGTATGCCTTCTTGATTTATGTGTGTCATCCTTGCGCAGGAGGGGCCATGCTAATCTTCTTTGTGTCGTTCCGGTTTTAATGGATGTGCCGGGTGTGTCACATGGCCCTTTAAGAGTGCTGGGCGTGTGTTTTTTGTAATCACATGGCCCGATGGACTGCCATGCCATGTTTCAAGGGAGGGAAAAAAAAAAAGGAGTTGTTAGCAAACCAAGTATGATGACATGCAGTATTTGATTTGTGTTGAATCTCTGCGGTGAGACCAGACAGATGGCAGCATAAATGGTGTACAAGGAAAGTCTGCAAGGAGGGACCTTCTGAAACCCCTTCTGATGGGGATTCTTGGAGGACCATTTCTTAAATGCATGCCGGACCCTACAAGTGTAAATCCAAATAGCAAATCATCAGAACGGGCGTCCAAGTGTCCGCGACCATCCGATGCCGGGAAGGTAAAAATGGTGATGGAGACATTTCAGGCATTGAAGAATCTCTGGTCGAGGCGCAGGCAAACACTCGCATTCATGGTAACTAGTACTAATTACTAATTAGTAATTACTCTCTCTTTTTTTTTCTTCTTTTTTTTCTGTTTTTTCAACTTTTCTGAACTTTTTTCTCCTTTCAAGGAACCAAGCAGAAATTATGGCAAAATATGTCAATTGCTCGCCGATAAGATTGATCACAAAACACAAACTCTTTACGAAAAGCCCTCTCTGCCATCTTCCCCCGAACACAATGCACCGTCATTTTTATTTTTTTATTTTTTATTTTTTTTGCTGTTCTTGCAAATATGTTTGTTTGTTTGTTTGTTTGTTTGTTTGTTTGTTTGTTTGTTTGTTTGTTTTTTACACGCCTCCGTCAGTGCTAGTGGTGCTGTTAAGAGCAGACACCAATAACACCTGGGGGGGAGGCTCCATCTATTGGTGGGGAGCGACACCGGCTGGAAAACGGGTCCAGCATCCCTTACATGGACAGAATGCGAACCATATCAGAAAAACAAAGATTTGGAATATTCCTGCCAGCATTGATTACCCTGGGGTGCAGAGGATTGACTGAGCAGGATGTTTGGGGGGAGGGGGAAACCTCTTCAGCTGCGGACCGGAAAGATAGCCTAAATACATTCATTATGAGGGTGCATTACGTTCGGTGGAAGACGGTAGCCTTGTCCCAAGAAGTATCTGCTCTGCGCTACTTTCGTCCGTGTGTTTTGTTTTCCGTCTTTCAGACCTACCGGGGTCCTCCCGGGTTATATTGATTGGAAATAACAGATGCACAACACACATCGTATCGCATCCTCGCTTGCTTGCTACTTTTGTCTGTGTGTTTTGTTTTTCGTCTTTCAGGCCTACCGGGGTCCTGTCGGGCTATAGCCTAGAAGGATCTAATAGTCTAGGTAGGAAAACTCTAGGTCCTCCTATAGGTCTATGCCTCCCCCCTAAGCACAACACTCCAAGGATCTTTGCGGTCATATACGGTCATGATGAGAGTGCATTGTCTTCATGGGAAGATGATAGGGTCGGCTAATATAGAGGCTCTACTTCGGTTCCAGGTTCAAATCGCACCTGCATCAGAACAGCAGAAACGACAAAAATGATGCACAGCTCACGCTTACTTGGAACGGGGGCCAGGTGTTGGGTTCGAATCCGAAACGCCAGTGCCAATGTTGTTTCCCAATAGCCAGTGTGAGTGTCTATTCCCAATAGCCGCTGTGAGTGTCTATCCCCAATAGCCAGTGTCAGTTTCAATTCTCAATAGCCAGTGTTAGTGGCTTTTCCGAATAGCCAGTGTCAGTGGTGATAGCTAGTGTCTATTCTCAGTGGCCACTGTCAGTGTCTATTCCCAATAGCCAGTGTCTATTTGCACTCCATTGAAAATAGGAACAAACCAGTTTCCAAACCCACCTCCCAGTAAGCCAGTGTCAGTGTCTATCCGCAATAGCCAATGTCTGCTCCCGATAGCCGATGCCTGGTCTATTCCCTATCGCCACTGTAAGCATTTATTTCCAACAGCTACAGTAGTGCCAATGTCTATTCTCAATAGCCATTGTCGACGTGCAATAACAATTTCATTTGATGTTGTTACCAGGGAACAGTGTCTTTCTTTTCCAAGTTTTTCCTAAAAGGACAAGGGGTTAGCTCCTAACATAAGTCTGCTCATCTGATTCTATCGGGATTTGAACTCGTAAGCTGTTTGCTAAGACCAGCTACATCTGTGTACCAGGAAACAGACATGATGTCTATTCCTACACTCTGGTCAACGGCCGGCAACTATTCCTGTGAGCCAAGGGCTATTCATTCTATCAAGGACTTGAAGTTTGAACTCATAAGCTGTTTGCTAACAACAGCTACATCTGTGTACCAGGAATAGTCGCTAACCGTTGGCCGGATCCCAGGGAACAGTGTCTATGTCTATTCCTGCGGTGTTCGACAAGAGGCGACATCTATTCCACTGCTTTTCCTGAGAGCCAATGACTATTCATTCCTATGGAGTTTTGTGAGATGCAATGTCTATTGACTTTATTCCTATGCTCTTTTCAACAGCTGCTGGCTATTCGTGTGGTTTCAGAAGAAGGGGAGATGATGATCTTAGGGCATACCTCCCTGTTGACTGAGTGGCGGTGCACACATTTAACCCCCAGTACTTGTCCCAGCTATTGTTGCTGATCGTGGAAACACCCTGCGCGCCAAAAAAGAACGAACCAGTGCTGGCCTCCTTTTGGCTGGTGGCACCATCCATTTTGGTCCGGTACTCGACCCCCGAGAGATGCGGCTGTATACGAGCTGCATATTTGTTTTTCAAGCGGGGAAGTGTACTGGTAGACTGTCTGTATAGTATAAACAGATCAAGAGTTCAAGTCGTGTTGGAGGCCGTAAGGTCAGGGCCTAAGCCCCCTTTCATTTTTTTTGGGGGGGGAAACAAAAAGGATGATCTATTAGAGAGAACCAGTGATCATTCTTCTTTTCTTTTTTCTTACAAAAATATGTTTTCTTTTTATTCTGGGGGGGACCAGTCCTGTTGCTTATCACCGGCAAGCATATAGTACAAAGATGCAGCTCAGGGTAGAGAACCAGTGATCATTCTTGTGATTTTGCATCAGACAGAATTCCTATCCCTACGATGTGTCTATTCCTTTTATGGTCTATTCCCCAATGGGCGATATCTATCCCTACGATGTTCCTGACTGCTATAGACTATTGATTCCTACAATTTCCTGAAAAGGACTTCCTGATGGACGATTTGTGTTCCCACAATCGTCCATACAGTTGACGTCGCTTGCCAAACGGTCCCCAAACGGTCCCTGCAATGTTCTTAGACCATCCCCGTACTATGTTCCCAAACCAGCCCCGCTATGTTCCCAAATGGCCTGCACTTGGTTCTGACACAGCTCCAAACGGTCCCCGCAATGTTCTTAGACCATCCCCGTACTATGTTCCCAAA